GTTTGACTGATGATGGCCATGTAAATTTCGAATCGAGTGATCTCGTCATAGTAAATTTCAAGCTCTTCAAGTTTAGGGAAACTTGTGGCCAACAACTCCTGTGAGCCAAGAGCATCGATCGAAATTACCAACGTTTTCAAGTTTTCAAATGTTCTGATGATATCTACCGGGAGACAGATGTAGCCCGATATTTCAAAATAGGTTAACGTACTCGAGTGACCCTTAATAGCCTCCCCCAGTTCATATAAGCAAACTTTTCTTTGGGATTTCCACACGACCGATCGAATTCTCACATATTTCAAGCACCGCTGAGACTTGATTAAATTCACCAACCCGAAATTTTCTCGAACACAATCGTCTATAAAAATGAGTAGTTGCTGGATGGTTTTGCAATACTTTGCCAATTCGTAAAAATACACTGGTGCAGTGTCGAAGTCACACTCGAGTGCTTGCAGATTCGAGAATTTCGATATCACCGCCCGATGATAAAAGATAAAAGTGTTCGGAATTCCGAAATATAAAAGCTTCATCCCTTTGGTCAAGAATAAGCTGTACAATTTTTCCACAAGAAGGCTATGATATGACGCTGAATTCTCACTTCGACCTTGAAGAATGTGCTCCGCCATATGACATACATCATGACATGTGAGTTTTTGCATATATTCGATGTAACGGAATAGCGGAGGTCGTTGGATTGAATCGATCATTTTACATCCCATGACCTTCAGAAATTTCAAGGATTCTTCACTCATGCATGACAGGATCGGTTTGACAATGTTTGCCCACAAATTTTTGTGCTCGAAGTTTTGAGGAAATCTCCATAGGATAGGCACACCAATACGACACCAAAGTCTGCTGACCAATATGCAAGAGTGCAATGTCCTGTGATCTTCGACCAGGTTTTCAACTATTTCCTCGATACATTCGGATGGTAGCTGGGGCACCCAGAGTCGATATTTTTTTCCTACAAGTGTTCTATCGAGAACGATTTTACCCGATGCGTTGATGGTAAAATCTGTAATTCCTGGTGAACATTCGAGAACAATGATTTATTAGAGTCTTAAACTTCTTTTACGTGAAGGGATTCTTTGTGCTTACTTAGTTGTATCAAACTCATTTTCGGCGTCAAGTGCTCAGGAATGACGTTTTAATATGGTGAATGGTGTAAAATAAGAATAGTATGGAGCGCGTCTAAGATATCCTGCTGAACAAAACAAAAGGAAATGACGAGAAAAAAAAAACGCGTCAAAATTTTTATATCCATGACCGATACACGCGGAATATTCCCTTATGTCACCGTAACCATAAATGGTAGTAAATCAACTGGAGTTCTAGTGTCCATCCTTATTTATTGAGATTACTGTCATCGGGTTAACCAGTTATCTTGTCAAATAAAGAACAAGTAAGTTAAAAAGGATTTATTATATTTTCCGTAAAACAAAAATGTTTACATCTAAGATTGATTGTTAACGTTACGATTCTATTTATTTTGTGCTTGTTGCTATATAAATACAATATGGTAAAAAAAAACTTTGTTATATACAAAAAAGCAAATATCTACAGTTTAAGAAAAAAAAGTTATTTCGTCGTTCGTTTCGCTTTTTTATTCGTCAACCGTAATTCGTTCGTTTTTTTTTCGTTACTTTGGCTCTGTTTCCGCCTGTTGTTAATTGCATCTTTTTCGTGGTATTGCGTTCGAATTTTATTCGTCGTTGTTCGAGATTCTATGTCGTGATCACGTGAATTATGTTTAAAATCGTCGATTAATGAAGTTTCGTGCGCGAATCACGCTCCCGTATGGACTTGGTTTTATAACATAAGGTTGTCAATAAAATTGACTCTTAAGCTGACACAGAGAAACCTTCGAAAGTTGTATGCATAATTGAGCGTGAACGCATTCGTAAAAAGCATCGTTCCTTACGTAAGGATCCATAAGCTTAGGGTGAGCTCTTAGGAAAGAAAAGAAAACGCGGAAAGCGTGTTTTTCGAGGTGCATTGGAAAAGTTTCTCTGTATCATGTGGGATTTTTTTTGCATATGCATTATTTTTTGTCGCTGAAAAAAACGAGATTGAGATCCTTCCCTTTATATAATGCTCAGAATCCAAGGACCGATTGCCTAAGAAAATAACTTGTTCCAAGATAGTTTCTTTCAATTCCATTTAACTGGTTTATATCGATGCCTCAATGTAAGCACAAATGGTCACAACTTCACTGCACGACATTTCTTTCTTTCCCTCCCACAAGAAACCGTTAAAAACTTTTCGGCCATTTCATATGCTAATGCATTTTGGAGTTTGTCCGGACAAAAAAAAAAAAGGTCCGTGTAGAAGCTTTTTGATAACTTATTAGGAGATAATGAACTTGTTATCGACGACAATAATTGGCACTAGCGTCATTACCGTTGTTAATACAGACAACGGTGATTGATGTGATCATCTTTTCCTTGTCCTATTGATTTTTTTGGAATCTATAGTTAATTATCAAATCAATAGACCTTATAAAAAAAATTTTTTTTACAATAGTTTAATAATATAATTAATTACGCACAAAGAAATCTCGGGATGCATTTTTCTCGAAACCATTTTAGAAAAAAAAAACCCCCCGTACTGTATCTAGGAAAATCTCTTTAAAAATCTTTTTTGACTATTGGATGTTTCTGTTATACAGGATATACTGTATATTCAATCAAAATTGGTAAATATGATATTAAAATTATAAGCAAAATAATAAAGCTTTGATAAACTTATAAGAGTTTTGATTTCTGAACTTTCATAATAACATTTAAGTAAAGATTCTCTTAATTTATACATTATAGTTAGCAGATTGCTAAAATGAACTATTATATTAAGCTATTGAATGATCAAAAAAATTTTTTAAAAAACAACAACAACAATAATAATAATACTTAGTTTTTTAATCAATTGAATACATAAGTACAATTCATTTGAGTAGTACGGTATATACTATAACTAAGCTATTTTAATCAAGTTTAACAAACTCGTTGTAAGTAATAAAAGTATTTAAATATAATCTTGAAATAATATTTTACTTTGTAATAAAATTTGAATTGAAATTCTTCTAGATCACATATTATTGCTAATAAGTTATCACTATTATATATTCTATCAAACTATTAAAATATAATATAAACTCTTCCAAAAAAAATAAATTAAAAAAAAAACGAATATCTAAAAATATACAAGTATATAATAAGAAAAAAAAATAATAATAAATTTTTTATTTGACTTTAAAGATTATTTCTCAAATTTTTTTCAATCGAAAATATTTTATCAATATGTATATATATTTTAACCATCTAAAAATTTTATTTATTATAATTTAATCTTTTACTTATATTATTTATAATAAATCATTGTTTATTAAGAATTTTTATACTATATTGATTTAAAGAACTTGTTATTTTAAAATTTAATTAAAATAAAAAAAAAATTAATACTAAAACTAGGTTAATTAAAATAATAAAAATAAAATAATTTTAATTTATATAACTATAATTTTTTCATTATTTAAAAATTTTTTATTCAAATTTTATTTATTTTATAAATTTAAAATATAAATTGATTAATTAAAAAAATAAAATAAAAACAAAGTATTATTTTATGTTTTTTTTTAAACTGCAATTAGGTATTAGATATAGGACTTTTAACATTATATTATTATCAATTATATTAAACATCTCATATATCTTATATATTTCTATATACATGCAGATTAATAATAATCCATACAACTAATCTAACTAAATCAACTTATATTCAAAAAGTGAATAGACTTAACTAGGAATTGAATAAATGAATTCTTGGTCATTAATAATAGGTTTTAATTAGCTGGTTTTAAATTTTATTAATTATTTCTAATAGATTTATTAAATTAATTTGACTACAAATATACTTAATAGACTTTATATATTCTCTAATATATCCAGATACCATTTGTTTAAATCTCAAAAGGAAACATATTATTTTTTTTATTATCACTGGTAATGTTCTTTTTTTTGGACTTGGTCATAAACTTTTTTTTATATCTTTATTATCCATTTTCTTATTATTCTTTCTGTATATTCATCTTGATATTTTAAATCTATTATTTTTAAAATAGATATATTTTTATAAGATCAATATAAAAACTTAAGATATTTTAACCAATTTTAGAATTTATTCTATTATTCTAAAAATCTACTTATTGAATTCTTCTATTTCTTCTCAATTATCAATAATCAGTCTAATATTTTTCTCTTTGATCTCTTCATTTCTTTTCTATAGAAGCACTTTAAAGTTTCTAATAATTTTATCTACTTTTTTATTTCATATCTCCTATAATTAGTTTTTATAAATCAAATATTCTTATAAATATTTTATAGTTTTTTTTTATTAGATATATATGATATATTTTACTTGTTTATATAGATTTGATTTTCTTATAGCCAATTTGCTTAAAGTAGATAACTTATTATTAACTAGTTTAATAAAAAGTTTCTTTGTTAGGATTGTTTAAAAAATATATTTTATGTATATCTATCTTTAATTCTTTTCTATACTAGTTTTTATGTATAAGTCTAATATTCTAAAATTTGATGACACTATTTTTTCTCTATTCTATTTTACTGCATCTACTGATAGCCTATTATTTTATTATTAATATTTTTAATAAATTGGTTAATTGGATTATCTAAGATTTTTTCTTGCCACTTAATTTCAATAATAATTTTATATAAATTAAAATTTTTTTATTCAATCAATAGAAATTTTAGAGTTTTTTTTATTAAGATATCTATTTTTTCATTATAAGAATTATTTAAATATACCTTAATTTTTATAAGCTTTAAATCTATAATTTTTTTATTAACTTTACTATGTATACTCAGAATAATCAATTTTTTTTTTAGCTATCTCTTATGTATTTTTTTTGTATCCTCTTTTTCTAAAGATTTTCACTTAAAAATATAGATTTAACTGTCCATACAAATTTCAACTATGTTTTTAATTGGAATGATCAAGAGTATTGTTAGGATTTCTATCCATTCAGCTCTTATAAAAAAGGATCAATAATTTATTTTATTATTTTAGATCATAAAAGAGCTTTGATTATTGTAAATCATTTTTTTAATCCTTTTTTTAAGTGCTGTTTTGAAATTAGAAATTTTTAATTCTTATGTTCTTCTAGTAGATTTTTTTATATTGAGGTATGGTATTATACTATATATCTTTCTTCTCTTTCTTTTTTTTATAATGCAATCCCTATTTTGTATTATGCCTTTTGAACATTTGAAGAATTTTTGTAGACTAATTTCTTAATTATTGTTGATACTGCAATAGTTAAAATACTTTATTATTACAATATGCCATTCTTTTTCTTGACTTAGTTTTTTCCATATTACTTGATTTCTTTTACTTCTTATTACTTTCTACAATTTTTTTTGCTTATTTTAATTAAATTTTATTTTAAAGTATTTTGATTTCTATTTTATATGATTTACTTTTTAGGATCTTATAAGTTGATTTAATTGTTCTTATGAGAGATCTTTAACTATAATTTGAAACTATTATAATATAAGTCCTTTGCTTATATTTTATAAAAGCCAAAACATTTACCAATCTTTTATTTTATTAATTTCCTGATTAATCAACTAATCCAGATATATAAATTAATTATTTCTAAGTGTTAATATGATTATTTTATATTTTTCTAATATAAAGTGTTTACTAATTTAATTGTTATTCTTTTTTCCTTCAAAAGTATCTTACTATTTTCAACTATTAAATATTATTACTATCTTTTGTGATTTTGATCACTTAAAGTATGAAATTACCTTTATTTGTTAGATAACTTAGTAATTTACAGATTAATAGATTGAGTGGTTCCCAATTTTTTATTTGTACGTATTTAAATTTAATGATTGTTATAATCTCTACTGATCTGAAATTATTTGGTTTATTACAAAATCTTTTTACTTGACTTTTTCATTGTAACATTCAAATACTTTTTAAGTTATAAATCTTTGAATGGTGAATTATGCTATTAAACATAAATCTGCATAAAACACTTTTATTCTTGAAAAGTTTTTTATATACTATTATTAAGGTATTACATATTTT